ACTGTCAATTTCTCTTTTCAGTGCTGTTAGAGTTTGTTTTATATATTTTGGAGCCCTGTCATTGGGTGCGTAGATGTTTATTATGGTTATGTTTCATGATGGATTGTGCCCTTAATCGTTATATAGTGTCCTTCTTTTTTTTTATGGTGGATTTTGTTTTAAAGTCTTTTTTATCTGAGATTAGTATTTCCACTGCTGCTCTTTTTTGGTAGTTGTTTGCTTGATATATTTTTTTCCAACCGTGATTTTTAATAAATTTACATCTTTGTTTCTAAGATGTGTCCCTTGTAGACAGCATATTGATGGATCCTGTTTTTTTAATCCATTCTGTCACTCTCTGCCTCTTTATGGGTGCATTGAGGCCATTTACATTCAGGGTAATTATTGATAGATGTGAGTTTGTTGCTGTCGTTTTGTAGTGTTTTTTTTTGTGGTACTGACGTTTTCTTTGTTCTTCTTACTCTCTGGTGCTGAATTCCTTTTGTTTGTGGATTTTTTTCCATTTCTTTTGTTTTTGTAGGTTGTGTTTTTACTGAGACTTTATGTTTTTTCTCTTTATTTTTATGAGTAGGTTTGTTAGCTTTCTTTGTGGTTACCGTGAAATTTATGCTTACCTTTCTAAGTTTGAAGCAGTCTATTATTAGTTGGTATTGCCTTGCCTCCCTTTCCATTAGAAGGTTCTATACCTACACCATTTATTCTCTCTTTTATTGTTCTGATGTTGTTGACATTTACAGATAAACTGCTCTGATTCCTTGTTGTATTTCTTTTGGTTTTGGATAGTGCTTGAGAGTTCATTTCCTAGATTTGTATCTGGCTGGTACGGTCCTGCATCCTAGATTCAGCCTGTGAGCTGAAGTTGTTTATACTCAGATTGAAGGACTTCCTTTAATAATTCTTGTATGTTTGGTTTGGTTTTTATATATTCTCTTAATTTCTGTTTATCTGGAAATGTCCTAATTTCACCATCATACTTGAACGAGGGTTTTACAGGATATATTATTCTTGGCGGACAATTTTTTTCTTTCAAGGTTTTACATATGTCATCTCATTGCCTTCTTGCCTGCATGTTTTCTGCCGAATAATCTGAGCTTAGTCTTATTGTTTCTCCTCTGTTTGGGAGTTCTTGTTTTTCTCGATACGCTCTCAGGATTCTTTGTCTTTGGTTTTGATTAGTATGATTTTGATATGCCTTGGTGATTATCTTTTGGGGTCTATTCTATATGGGGTTCGTTGAGCTTCTCGGATGGCCAGCTTTTCATCTTTCATGATACTGGGGAAGTTTTCTGTCAGCAGTTCTTCAGTGATCTTCTCTGTGTTTTCTGTTTTCCCCGTTCTGGAACTCCGATCACTCACAGATTTTTGCTTTTGATTGTATCCCAGATAATTCTCAGGGTCTCTTCATTTTTGTTTGTTCTTTTTTTCTGAGTTTTCCTCAAACAGAGTTGTATCCAAGTGTTTGTCTTCAATTTCGCTGATCCTATTTTCCACCGTTTCGAATCTGCTCCTCAGCCCTTCTATGACACTGTCCATTTGTGAAATCTTGTTGTTTATCTTTTGGATTTCTAATTGTTGTTTTTGTATGATTTCTAGTTGTGAATTTATTTTGGCATTTTGTTCCTGCGTTATTTTCCTGAATTCTTCCATTTTTTTAACTGTATTTCATGAATTTGTCTTCCTTTTCAATGAATTTGTCTATTTTTTCCTTATTTCTGTCTGCCTTTTGTTTCAATTCTTGGATAATTCTGAGTAGTAGAGATTTGAATTCCATATCAGGTTCTGGTGCCTTTTCTTCTACTGGAAAGTCATCTGGTGTTTTATTTTGGACACCTGCTTGAACCATCCTGTCCTGTTTTTGTATATGTTTTGGTATTGTCTGCTGTCTTTGGGGCATTCAGTAGTTATTTTTCTCGTTTATTGATCATAGATTCGATTTTTTCGTTCTCTTTTTTGTTTTGTTTGGCTATGTCTGAGCAGGCGGGCGGTGTGTTCTTCGTTGTTTGTTCATCTGTGGGCATAGTACTTTTTGCGTCCTTCTCCAATTGGCAGGGTCAGTTGCTCAGATATGGTACAGCACAGCAGGTCTAGCTGAAGAGGAGTTGCTGGGATGGGTTGTTTGTGCCACTTACTATGGCCACCAGGGCGTGCTGGTAATCAGTGCAGGACAGGTTGCAGTAAGCCATGGCTGTGCTGCTTGGTGGTGTGATTTTAAGTGCACGGTACAGGTAGGCAGGATGGAGGAGGGAGATTGTGGTTTGTGGAGCTAAGATGGATATGGGAGACAGGAGAGAGGAATAGGAGCCAAAAACATACAAACAAAAAATAGTGCTAGGGGAGCTTGCTGTTGGAGTGAAGAGATGAGAGACTATGAAATGGAGAAAAACAAAAAGGAGAAGAAGAACAGAAAAGAAAAAAATGAATAAATAAAAATTAGAAAGGAAAAAGAAAAGAAAAGCTCCCAGGGATCCCACCAGTGTGGCTATGAGGTCTGGGGAGGTTGCTCTCAGGTGTTGAAATATAGCCTAGCTAGAAGGTGTAGAGGTGTCTCTCAGCACCAGGTATTCAGGGGACAGGAAGAGAAGGAAGGTATAGAGACACGAGAAACTGAGTAATGAAGAAAGACAAAAAGGGAAAAAGAGGGAAAAGAAAACAAAACAAATTAAAAAAAAAAAAAAAAGAACAGGAGAAACTTCCAAAAAAATACAAAAAAAGTAATCCCTTCAGGGATCCCTCTGTGCGTTTGCACAAACTGAGGGGGTAGATCCCAAGCCGCGTAGTACTGCCCAGCTTGAACAGGCTCCCAATTCAAGAAAAGAGAAAGAAAACAAACAATTCAAAAGAAACAAACAAAAAAAGCGCCAGGATCCCAACAGTGTGGCAGCACGGACCGGGAAGCAGTTTCACATTCAAGCGGAGTTTCACAGCCTGTCAGGAAGAAGCAAAGATAGCGCACGGAACCAGGTATTTGAGAGAAAGGAGGCGGAAGTGGTGAGAGGTAAGGAAGAAATTAAAAGAAGCAGATAAAAGCAACACCAGCAGCCAACAAATGACACTCAGGGAGTCGACCAGTGCAGGTGGGTGGAATCCAAGCAACCGGTGCTTCCCAGCCAAGAGACTGTGGCCGTGGGAAGCAGAGGAGGCTGAGTGGGGGTGAAGAAGGGTAGGGGGTGGGAAAGCACATATCGCTTGTTACCGGTTGTTCTGTCTTCTGTTGGAAGCTCCGTGAAGCTGCTTTCTCATATCCTGTTTGCTGATCTCTGATAGGAGTCCAAGATGGTGGATTCGTGCTGCATTAGCTGATAGGTGACCTCTGCATGTATCTCTCCTCGACCTCTGTTCTCTGTCAGTTTCTTAATCCATTTGGTGCTTGGCTGAGTTCTTTATCTCTTCATTTGATGCTTAGGGTTTCAGGATTGCTGTTTTCTCTGTTTGGCTTAGTTTTTTTGATCTTTGCTGTGGAGGGATGGTGTGGTGCTTCTGCCTAGAGCACCATGTTGCCTGGAAGACCAACAGTAATATTTTCTTGTTAAAAAGGTGCATTTTCTGGAAGGTGAGTTTCTCATTGAAAAAATTTCTTCCACATTCAGTCAAGAAATATTTATTTGAGTGCCTAAATAGTTATGTGAATATGTTAGAAAGTTCTACGAATTCTTGCCTTCCCATTGTTTACAATTTATTTGAGGTTGTGCCATCAGTATGTGGTGAGTTATATAACAAAAGATGGACCATAAGATACAAGTTGGACAGGTTTCGAAGTAAAGACAGTTCATTTTGTGTGGCTGAAAAAGGTTTAATGGAAGTTGACTTTGAAGTGCCCGTTAAAGAGTAGGTTTTTTTCCCCCATAAACTGAGCCGTAACCTGAGGGAATGTCAGGATTAAAGACTTGGATGATCAGGGTCTTATATATGTTGGGACTGTGAGTAAACCAGCTGTCTACAGTAGAGTATTTCTATTGGAAGTGGTGGGGCCAGGGTGAGAATATAACCTTGAACCAGATACAGCAATTGATCTCTATTTACCTGGAGCAGCAGAGGAAGGAGGAGACCCAGGAATCAGAGAAGGACTGGACTGCAGATCTAACTGACTCCGTGAACTACTGCTTCCTTGCAGTGAGACCAGAAGTATTGGATGGTGCCCGGCTACTATTACTGAATGTTTTGATCAAGGATTCAATAGATGTCTTAACCGAAAGGAGGGAAAACGTGGAATTTCAGATTTCTTACAGAACCCAGACTTACTGGGCCCACTGAGGCTGACAGAATCCCCAAATCTGTTGCCCTGAGAAAATTTTTTTAACCTTGAACTGAAACTATCCCTTGAAGTCATCTTCAAACTAAACAACAGTTTAGCTGAATTAGTAAAGAATTTTTGCCTTGAGCATTGTGCTCCTTTAAAGAATTATCTATAGCAGATCAAATTGACAGTAGTAATTCTTAATGCATAGATGAGGGCAGTGAGTCTAAGTCAATGGTGGTGAAACAGTATAGAAAGAGATGGTGAGAATAGTGACACAACGTGAAGAATGGAACAGTGTCATTGAACTGTACATGTAGAAATTGTTGAATGGGCGTATGATCTGCTGTATATATTTTCACCAAAAATAAAATAAATATTAAAAAAGAAATTAGAACAAATTTCAGTTAAATACAAGGTGGAAGCTTATTAGTAATAGAGCTGTTCCTCCATGAAATAGAATGCCTTACCAAGGAGTGAGTTTCTGATAACTTACATTAGAGCAAAAGTGGAACTGCCATCTCTCAGAGCAGTTAGGGTGGGCTTCCTGAATTAGGAGGGAAGTTTGTATTAAAGTTTCTCACAAATCCAATATTTTTACTTTTAAGTTATTATTTTTATTTTACAGAGGTAGTAGTTTATTGGAAGTAATATATTTTGATGACACACAATTGCAAAGTCCATCAAATTGTCAGGCCCTCAGTAATAGGTAGAGCACTATTAGTTTTAATAATTGTCAAACTTAAAACTCCTTTTCTTTTTTCAGGGATATCATGATAACACATTTTGAACCTTCGATCTCCTTCGAGGGCCTTTGCAGTGAGGTTCGAGATATGTGTTCTTTTGACAATGAACAGCTTTTCACCATGAAATGGATAGATGAGGAAGGTGAGTGGGAAAGCATTTGATGTAAGGTGTTATTTTGCCATTTGTTTTTAAAGTTCAATAAAAGAGTTCTAAAAATTAAAGGAGGGAAAGGTATATTAGAAATTCAATACTATTCTTATTTTTTCTTTAAGTATTTAAGCTAAAAGAGTGCCAAAGAACAATATATTTTTTCTTCCCTTTTTACCCCAAATTGAGTGAATTTACTTGAATTTTTTCCCCAGCAATGAGGTAAACATCTCATCAAATAGTGTGACATTTTAATTTTTAATCTAAGTGCTGTGTTATATTTTAATTTAAGAGATTACTTATTTTTACTGAATATTATTTTAAAGAAAATGTTATGGAATGAAAGTGATTGTGACAATTGTTATTTTTAAGGTGGTGGAAGAAGTTCAGAATCTTAGTGAGTTTTCCTCAGAAAACATTTGTTGAATATCAGTGTGCTGAGGATACAAGACATTTCGTGTTCTCAAACTCAGTCTTCTAAGGGAGATGGACATGTACATAACAAATATGATAAATTCTGAGCATAAATGCATAAGAACCTCAGGGAGTACAAAAGAAGCAGCACCTACATCTGCCTGAAATATCTGCAGTGTTTGAACTAAGCCTATAACAAAGAGTAAAAAAGGTTTTAGAGGTGGAGGAGGTGAGGGGAAAAACACTTAGGCAAAAGAATAAGGTATAAAAAGGCATAGAGGAATGAAGAATATGCTGTGTATGTGAGGGGGAGGAGTCAGTTCACTACATCTGAAGTGTAGGGCGTGGTAAAGTATAAACTTGGGCTAGATCCTTGCTGCTCAGAGTGTGTCTGCAGAACTTGTTAGAAATGGGGACTCTCAGACCCATCCCAGACTACTGAATCAGAGTCTACAATAAATATGATCCACAGGTTAGAGTTCCATGAATGTTCAAGTCTGAGAGCTCCAGGACTAGATCCTGAAAGACTTTGCAAACCACAATAGACTTTATTTTATATGATAGAATGTTATTGAAATGTGGTTAAAGGGTACCCTAAATACACTGCTTTTGTAAAATCATTTTCATTGCAGTACAAATGGAGTTTCATTTTAATTTTTAACTCAATATTTGGGACCATTTATGTGTTCCTATATGAAGAGCCCTGGAAAAATATCATCCCTGTTCAAAGCTGTAGGTAAACTCACATTTTCGTTTTCTAAAAAAGTTTTTAAAAGTTTCTCTAAAGTAATTCATGTTCATTGTTTAGAAAAAAAAAAGTAGCACAGGTGTTTATAAAATTAAAAAAGGAGTCTTCTGCTTGCCCTTTCTCTTCTTGCCTCCCTCACCAATCCCATTCCTAATGGAGAAAACCACTGGTGACATCTTAGAATATGTCCTTCTAGATATTTTAATGCATATACAAACATATATGTTTGTATAAATTATTTATAAGCAACACTTTTTTTTACACAAAAGGAATTACATACAAATAGTTATACGGTATTTTCCTGTGTATTGTATGTTTTTAAATTTCTGTATATCAGTTCACATCATAGCCTTTTTAACATTGTGCATACTATTCCATATAGTAGATGTTCCATGGTATATTTAATCCCTTATTGATGAGCATTTGAACTGTTTCTAGTTTTTCACTACTATAAGCAGTATATAAAGAATATTTTCATATTATTTTGTACAGTCATATGGGACTCTATAGCAAATTCATGGAAGTGGGCTAAGGAATATGCACATTGTCAATTTTGGTAGCTAATGACAATTTGTTATCAGAAGATGTTAAACCAATTTATAGTACAACTGCAGTGAATCAGAGGGTTCTTTCACTCTTGCCCTCACCAACCTCAGATATTAGAGTTTTCAGCATTTTTACAAATCTCGTAAGTGGAGTGCTAGCTTGGTTTTTTGAAATTTTGCATTATTTAAGAATAAGATTGAATAATTTCATCTGTTCAACCACTTTTGACCTACTCTATCACAAGGTTGGTTTAAATATGGTTAATTTTAAGTAGTATGGATATCTCACAGTATGTTCTTCAGCCTGCAAATCAGAGAATATAAATTAGCACGTACAGTATGTATTCAGTGAAATAGTTCTTATAAACCAATGTCATTCTCATTTTAATCCTGTCCTGATCATTTCGTGCCATTTATTTGCTGTTTAGAGTTTTTCAATCAGTGGTTCTCAAACTGATTTTCATAGGAATAACTGGATAATGCTTTTATTGAAAGAGCTTGATTTAGAGACATTCTCTTAAGATTTTTTATTAGTACTTCTATACTTTGTATTGTCTTTGCCTGGAGAATTCTGCTCCCAGATTGTCACATGGCTGTGTCTTTCTTGTCATTCAGGTCTTAACTCAAATGTTATGTCCTCCAGGGAGGCTTCTTACCTCCATTCAGTTTCTATTTTGTTACCCTGTTTTATTTTGTTGTCATTTTATTGTAAGGTAGAATGTAAGCACTAAGAAAGCAGAGATCTCATGTATTTTGTTTGCCATGGAGCTTCAATGCCTAGAGCAGCACTGTACATAGTGTGCTCAAAGAATATTTGTGACTTACGCAGAAGACTAGTAGCAAACTTTGCCATGGTTTAGTTTTACTTCAGTTATTGTAGATTTCAGTATTGGAATTGTTTATTCTATTTCTTCTTAAAGGAATAGCATATTTTAATTAACAATTTCATATAGTTAATTAAATTAACTCTTTGATGAAACAGCTTTATCCTTTTATAATGCAGTTCTTGGTTCATTCCCCCTAACCAGTGATTAAGTAGTCTTGTTTTCTGGGGAAAACTACGAAATTGTACCCTTTGCCTCGTTCAAGTAAAAGACTAAACTTCCCATTAAGGTCTGTTGATTCCCATGTGATCCTTCTTACCCTGGTTAATTCTGGCACCAGTCTGGTTTTCTTAATTTTAGGTACATGGAGATACAATAATTGGTTTTAAGTGACTTGTGATTATTTTTCAGTTGTAGTTGTGTCACCTTTAGTTTTAATCATGTAGGCGTTGGGGCACTCTGATCTGGAGAAAAAGTTTTTCTCGAGAAGTGGAAGACGGGACTATGATTTGGTTTCCCTGACATATAAGAAGCACTGTTCTAGAAGTTAAACATCTAATTGTGGGATTTTATATTAGATCAAATAAAGATCATAAGCTTACATCATCTCTTTAAACAGATTTAAGACAACTTCCCTTTATCCTTGTGCTCAAAAACAGTTTTACTGATCTGTTTTGATGTACATGTGGAAAAACTGGTTTGCTTAATCTAACTAAACATTTTAGAATGAATAGTAGTTTTGTAACCATCACACTCCTCCTCCCATATACTCTTGTATGATGAGAGAGTATGGGGCAGGGAATGACAACTGTGACTTTTTAGTTCACCATATTTTAATTGTGACTTGTTTTTCCTTAAGGATGTACTTTTTGTATTTAAAACCTACTATTAAATATTTTCTAAAAATACACTAATTTATTCAGAGTCTGATTCCCTGATTTAAAATCTGTATCTGTTTTTTCACTTTTCTTTTACTAAGAATTAGCTTTTGGGATATTTTGTTTTCCTTATGTATGAATATACATATACATTATTAACTTTTTATCAAGAATAATGCATGCTTTTAACAAACATACTGATTTGTTTGAAGGAGAAAAGTATCTCTAGGAATCCTCAGATCATCAGAAATAGCCACTATAAAGAAGTTTATAATAACTCTTTTTCTGTGAATATATAACTAGAAGGGATAAGGTAACAATTTTTTCCTCTCACAAATAGACTAGTACTATACAAGCTGTTATTTAACCTGCTTTTTTTTGCTTAGCATGTTGTGGATATCTTTCCATATCAGTGCATGTAGATTTATTTTATTCCTCTTGAAGGATGTGTAGTATTATATAACATGGTTATATATAATTTATTTAACCAGTTCCCTTTTGATGGATTATTTACAGTTTGACCAGTATAATATTGGTACAGTGAATATCTTTCTGCATATGTTCTTTGGGCACCTGTGCTGGATTATCTGTAGGGTAAATTCTCTGAAACAGAATGTGTCCTTAATGATTAAAAAAAACAGTTGCCGTTGGGTCGGTTCTGACTCATAATAACCTTATGTGTGTCAGAGCAGAACTGTGCCTCGTAGGGTTTTCAATGACTGATTTTTTGGTAGTAGATCACCAGGCCTTTCTTCCAAGGTGCCTCTGGTGGACTTGAACCTCCAGCCTTTTGGTTAGCAGCCAAGCACTTTAATTGTTTGCACCACCCAGGGACACCTATCTTGGATGATAGGTAGTACCCAATTGCCCTTCAAAAATATTATACTATTTTGTTACACTTCCACTGGTAGCATATGAATGCGTTTCTATCACACTTTGTAATAAAACACCATGTGAGGGAAGAAGTTGAAAACGAGTGATTTTCAGGAGGGAGGAGTGTGTTATTCTGATGTAGTTCTTGTATTTATATCCTGTTGGCTTCAATAGGTGGGATTCATGGAAATTTAAAACGAGTATAATAATTCTTTGACATAAAGATTATGAAGTTTTCAGAGTTATATAGTTAAACCTCTTTCTGATTTGCATCAGATTATAAAATCTTATGTGTTCATAGCGGGGAAAATTGAGTGCCAAGTTGTAACAAAACAATACTTATGGTAACATATTTTCCAACATCTTTGGTCCTGAGTGTTAAGAACTAAAATGGGGGACCACTTTTCATATTTTCCCTTATCATTCCACACTATATCTTGACAGTGGTAATCATGCCAGAAAGACAGTGGGGAAGACTTTTATTGAATGTCTTAAAGTATGTTGAAGTGTTAGTTCAGTTCTTCAGATAAGTGGTATTAATGGCTCTAAACCTGAAAATTAAAAATAAAAATCTACAGCAGTAAAGAAAATCTAAGTACTCCTGAGCAGATCTAGATTTGCATCTGGTATCATTATCCTTCTGCTTGAAGAACTTTCTTTAACATTTCTTGTTGGTGATAAGTTCTTTCAGCTTTTTCATATCTTTATTTCA